TTTATATGTTGCAAACAATAACACATGTTAATGGGGAAAGACAGACAATAGATAAGACTAATTACTAAAATAAAAAGTGCCATGGTAATGAAGACTATGGAGGAAATAAAAAGCAGGAAAGGAGAAAAGCAATGTAAAGGGTGGTTTGCATTTGCAATTTTAAATAGAATGGGCAGGCAAGGTCTTATTGTAATATTATGCTTAAATAAAGCCATGAAAAAAGTAAGGGAATGAGTCACATAGAAATCTGTAGGAAGAGAATTCCAGGCTGAGGGAAAACTAGTACAAAGCCTGGTATATCTTCAAATAAACAAGGACATCAGTGTGGATGGAGAGGAATGAGGTGTGTGTGTGTGTGTGTGTGTGTGTGTGTGTGTGTGGGTGGGGGGGGGGGCAGGGGATTTATCTGAGGTCACATAGCAAAGTGGGGCAGAGCTGAAAGGTCACAGAGCCTGGCCCTCGGGACACCCAGGAGGTGGGGAGAGGGCGGGGTCAGGCAGTGCTGCGGGAATACCTTCTGCTTTTGGCTTCAGATGACTGGTTCATCCTTTGACCATGCCCACTCATCTCAGCTGAGAGCATGGGGGCCTGGGCTGAGGGGAGGGATCCTGGATCCATAGTTAAACACTGGATGCCAGAGTTTGAGCTGGTGGCTAGCTTCGGGAGCCTTCCCAGGGACTCACAGGGCTGGGCCTGGGCCCAGGCCCAAGGCTAGGTGTGGGTGCTGACCTCGCCTGAACTCCCCCAGCTCTGCTCCAGGATGGAAGTGGGGGAACAAGGGGGTGGTGGGCGGGTGGGGAGTGGGGGGTGACAAATGTGGAGCCCGCCTGCTTCACTCCTCCCCCCAAAGCGCCTTGCTGTGTTTAAAGTTTTAATTTTTGCTAATTAATGTCAATTAATTTTGTATAATGAGTGTTTAATTTTGGGGAGTGTGTGAGCCTGGGAGCGACTGCAGTTCTGGGCTGTGAACGCTGATTAGCATCAACACCTGCTGCTTCCCCACTCCCTCCAGTGGGGGGGGCGGGCACCCGGGTTTGGGGAGCTGGAGGGCGGCAGGGCCTGGTGGGCAGGTGGAGTGGGAGGAGGACCGCAGATGCTCCTTGTGCCTGAGCCAATGCAGGGGAGCAGAGGGGCCCAGGGTGCTCGCAGCTGGGGGACAGGGTTCTGCAGGTGAGGGGTGGCTTGAGGTCCTGGGGTCTCTAATCCTCAGTCTCCCTTTTCAATAAAGTAGAAGGTGGAACAGGCAGAGGGAAGACCAAGTAGCTCTGCAGTCTTGGGAGAGAAAAGCAGGCGACCAAATACAGTTTTTAAATGTATTTACAGCACAGATGTCATCTTTGAGTAGCTCTCGTGTTTCCACAAGACACTCAGCCACACTGGGACCCACGGGCAGACCTCCTCTCGCCAGGCCACTCCTGTCCACACGGCAGGCAGGCTCAGTGGTCTGATACAGTGGCTCTCCACCGGGGCGATGTTGTGAGACATCTGGCAACATTTGGAGACATTTTTGATGATCACAGCCTGGTGTGTGTAGGGGTTGGTATAGGCCACCTAGTGGGTAGAGGCCAGAGATGCTGCTAAACATCCTACAATGCACAGCACTGCCCCACGGCAAAGAATTACCCAGCTCAAACGTCAGTATGATGTTGAA